GCCGCCTTGACACGTTTAGGAAGCTGTGTTTGTCCCCAGATTAACAAAGATTCATTGGCCGACGTGACCTAAAAACGTCAGTCACAGCCACGGGCATGCCTTTTTCCAACTCACCGTCTCTTATACTTCAGAGACTACCTTCACTAAGAACAGCGGCCTTGAAGTCAACTACCCTGACGCGACGACCCATTCCTCGCTTTACGAAGTCTTTCAACCACCAGAGCCTTCACAAATTTTCGACCTCTGCCATCGTCATGAACCCAAACGAGCTGGTCCACTACCTCGCCGACAAGCCCCCCTCGGTGGTCAGGCTCGAGATTGAGAAGCACTTCGATGCACTGAATGACAAGCAGAAGCGTTACGCTCACTTTATCAGCAAGTAAGTTTTATTACCGATCGTGTATAAGTTGTAAAGCTCGATCAAATTAGAATGAGGGGCAACAATGCTTATGAGAGAGGGGTCGTGTGGCTTATGTTGACATACAATTATAGAGCTGCTTTTGCTGGTACCAGAATTGTCCTTCGACAGATCTCCCCCGAGTCTGAGCCAATATTTGACTTGATCTTGACTCTCCACAAGTCTGTCAACGGCGATTGGACTGCCCTAGCAAAGAAGGCTGGCGTCGAAGAGGATGAGCTTACCCGGTTCCTCGAGTACGCTGCTATGTTTCTTGGCAACAATGGCAACTATAAGAGCTTCGGTGACTCCAAGTTCATTCCCCGGTGCTCGGAGAAGACCGTGGCTGCTCTCGCTTCCACCTCACCCGAGGCCAACAAGTTTTACGAGGCGACAGAGGGAGGCATCTTCAGCTCTAGTAACCCCGCCATGATGCACCTTGGCTATCCCGACGACGGGCACATGACTACTTACTACCCTGAATCTTCGCACATTACAAAGGACGAAATCAAGGCTGTTTCTGACTGGATGGAGTCCAAGGGTCTTTTGCCCGAGAACAACCGACTTCGCAAGACCTCAGACGGTAACTACGAGATACTGATCGCGTCGGCTGTCAAGGAAATCCCCAGTGAAGGAGGTGATATTGGCAAGCGGACCGAGTTTGCTGTGGATGATGGACCTCTCAAGAGCAAGACAATCAAGCTGGTCTACGGCGACTATGCTGAGGAGATGAAGAACATCACAGCTTTCATCAACGGTGCTGCCGAGAATGCCGAGAACGATACCCAGAAGAAGATGCACGAGGCTTACAGCAAGTCCTTTGAGTCCGGCTCACTGGAGGCCTTCAAGGATAGTCAAAGATACTGGATCAAGGACAAGGGTCCTATGGTTGAGTCTAACATTGGCTTCATCGAGACCTATCGAGACCCTGCTGGTATTCGTGGAGAGTGGGAAGGCTTTGCCTCTAGTAAGCTTCTTATCACCATACACCCCAGACAAGAGACTAAGTACTGACTTTTTATATAGTGGTCAACCGTGAGATTTATTCAAGCCAGATACTTAACTAGTCACTAACCGTTGCCCAGTTGAGCGAACTCGCGCATTTGGAGAGCTCGTGAAGAACGCCCCCAAGCTCATTCCGCTGTTGCCTTGGGGCTCGGAGTTCGAGAAGGACAAGTTCCTGTCTCCCGACTTCACATCCCTCGAGGTTCTCACCTTTGCTGGTTAGTGACCTAGTGATACTGAATTCATCAAATCCACACATGCTAACATTGGGTCTAGGTTCTGGTATTCCTGCTGGTATCAACATGTAGGTTCCCGAAACAAATCGATATCAAGCGGAAAGTGGATTGCTGACATGTTCGCAGCCCCAACTATGACGATATCCGCCAGACCGAGGGTTTTAAGAATGTGTCACTGGGGAATGTTCTCAGTGCCAAGGCACCCGATGAGAAGATTCCTTTCATTCGAGACGAAGATCTTGAGGTCTACAAGAAGCAGCGAGACGCTTCCTTTGAAGTTCAAGTTGGCCTCCACGAACTTACTGGTACGTAACACTACCTCGAATCTCTTGAATCTACTGCTCATATTCGTTAGGCCATGGTTGCGGTAAACTTCTCCAAGAGACATCCCCAGGCACCTACAACTTTGATAAGGAGAACCCTCCCGTCAGTCCTGTGGATAACAAGCCTATCACAACCTGGTACAAGCCCGGACAGACTTGGGGTTCTGTCTTTGGTAGCATTGCGGCCTCGTACGAGGAGTGCCGTGCTGAGCTTGTTGCCATGCACCTGAGCTGCGAGTTCCCCGTTCTCAAGATTTTCGGATTTGGTGATGGTTCCGAGGATATCAATGGAGAAGCTGGTGATGTGCTTTTCGCCTCCTACCTGTCCATGGCCCGAGCTGGACTTGCTTCCCTTGAGATGTGGGATCCCAAGAGCCAGAAATGGGGCCAGGCTCACAGCCAAGCTCGCTTCTCCATCCTCAAGTGCTTCCTTGAGGCCGAGGACGATTTCTGCAAGCTTGATTACAAACAGGATGATCTTTCCGATTTGACCATCAAGTTGGACCGCTCCAAGATCCTTACAGCTGGCCGAGATGGTAAGATTTATCTCCGACGACTGGACACGAGCTAATAAATTCGCCAGCTGTCGCCAAATATCTCCAGAAGCTGCACATTTACAAATCGACCGCTGATGTCAAGACTGGTACTGACTTTTACGTGCACATGACAACGGTTGACACTGAATTCTGGGGTAAGAAGGTCCGTGACGTTGTTCTCAAGAACAAGCAGCCTCGCAAGGTCTTCGTCCAGGCCAATACATCTCTGGATGAGGCATCTGGAAAGGTTTCGATCAAGCACTACGAAGCCTCATTGAATGGCATGATTGAGAGCTGGGTGGAGCGCAACTTGTAAACAAAAAAACAAAAACAAAAAGGAACATCATGGCTGCGTTAATTGCATGGTAATCTGAGAATAGGGGAAGAGATTAGATAAGAACTCATTGATGGTATGAATCCGTCTCAGTCATCCTTTGCCCACCAAGAGAGGAACGACACACCCGCAGACCGATGAACGCACAGAAAATTTGAAATATTGTTGATTGTTCATAAATCAATGTCCATTTTTGACTAGATCAGATCTGAGAACTCTTAGCTCACACCAGTTGTTTTTATCACTCAGGAGATGGGATGTCCGAGTGAAGTTCATCATCATCGGCCTCTGACCGGAAGCCTCTAGAATTTTGTATGCTCGTTTGTTTTTTTGACTGTAAAACCTGATTACAGACGCCAAAATAGGACCGATGCCGTCGACTTCCAAATGCAATTGGCCAAACCAGCCCATTTCGGAGACCCTTGCCGTTCTACAACCCGTTGTGTCGCAACCCCGGTACTCCCATCACCCCGGCACAAGATTGCACATTTACCAGGCCATCTCGTGGGGCTTGTCACCCTTCCTCAAGCTGAAAGAGCTGGAGAGGTAAGAAGCCAGCATGTCAACCTTCTTGATGTTGGCAATCAGAGCCTTGTCGATAGCCTTCTGGTCGGCGGCACGGCTGCTGTTGACCTCCTTCTTCTGTAAAGAGCTGTCAGTGACGTGATACTTCGCGAGTTCTGTTCTGGGCTTGTTGTATCGTACCTGGGGCTTCTCTCCCTGCTTGAAGAAAGCCTCCTCACCAGCCTTCTCCTTGGCCTTCTCAGCAGTGAAGTACTTAGGCTGAGAGACCTCCTCGATCTTCTTCTCGTCGAGACCGGAGATGTCGACCTTGTAGGAGGTAGCGATGACGTATCGGGAGTTAACTCGTCGCAGAGGAACACCGTTGATCTTGAAGGGGCCGGTGACGAGGAGGACACCCTGGTCGAGGGACTTCAGGAGAATGACGCGCTTGCCACGGAAGCGGCCAGCGAGGAGGATGAGGACAGTACCGGGCTGGAGGGACTTGCGAGGGGCCCAAGATCGGACAGCCTTGCGGACCTGTGGTTTCAGCTGTTAGCAGGCTGGCACTCGGTTACGCTGAAGATTGCTCAGGCAGTAGCTATGTGGACAGGAAGTGCAGTCGTCAATCGGTATTTTGTCGCAGGCTTTGCAGATCTGTGCGTTCGATATATATGGCATTGGAATTCGAAGTCTTTCGTCGTTCAAAGCATGTTCTTATTGCGATGGCAGTCGGATTGCCAGGGACCGAACTCGTTCTCTCAACTCCCCGGTTCCCATATCCAAACCGCGCACTCCAAAACACAACGCAACTGGTTGCAAGTGCATCGCAATCATCACCAAAAGACTTACCTTCTTGTTCTCGGCATCGTCGTCAGCGGGGTACCACTTCTTAGCCTTCTCCGAAGAGGCAGGAACCTCTCGGGTCGACTTTCCGAATGTCTTGCTCGTGGGCTTCGCCGACATTGTGACTCTCCTGGCTGGTTGACTTGGGGTTGGGTGAAAAGAGGAAGTGAAGTCGGTGGTGTTGAGGTGGTGTAGGCCCAAAATGTAAATTGTCTTTGTGGGCGAAGCCTAGAAAGTGTGGCGAACTGCCCAATCAAAGCCGGCCCAAAGTCCCCATCAGAAGAGTCACGTGGTAGAGCTTCTTAGGGCAGATTGTTGGGTTGTGGTTGCCAAAATTTTCTAGCGTGCCACTTAATAACGAAATACCTTAGGCCTTCTAGTTAGAAGTTGTTCAAGACCAACAATGTACAAGCATCACATGATAAAAATTACGTCTGAATGGTAGGAGACTGAAGAAAAGGAACTTGCCAGAAGATTTGCGTTTGCAAATAAACTTGTTCCTGGCCTCCTTACCATCCTTCAACAAGCCGCGTCGTAGGTGACGGCATATGCGCTGGGCCATCACGTAAGTTTTCTGTCTTGCGAGATCAGTCACATGATTATCGGATACAAGCTGGCTCTACTTTATCTTATCAGCTCTAGCGTCTCTCAATGACGGATGATCGAACTTGCGAGAATATGCTCCATTCGCCTTGAAGCGTGTAGCCGAGTTTCTTGTCGTAGATAATAAAAGGTCTCCTGTATGTCGCAGAAATCCACGATCTTGCTTTCGTTTTCTTTCCTTTAGACGTTCTTTACATGCCTTCTACCACAGTGCATAACATGCAAGCACGCAAGCAAATAATTGCATCAACGCAGCGCATTGCTGCTAGTGCCCGGACCCGACCCGTCCAACCACTTACACGGGTGTTAGCTACCCAACCTTTGAGACCGACTTCTCTACGATTGATTCCAAGTCTTGCTATCAGATCATATGCCAATGGCCGTCCACACCCTCCTGGTGGCACTCACCGGATGAACATGGGTGGCGAAGAAGAGAAGCCTGCTCTGGAACAATTTGGTATCGACTTGACTGCCCGAGCCAAGGATGGAAAGCTGGATCCAGTTATTGGAAGAGACGCAGAGATTCAGCGAACCATTCAAATCTTGTCAAGGCGAACCAAGAATAATCCTGTCCTGATCGGTAACGCGGGTACTGGAAAGACAGCAATTCTTGAGGGTCTTGCCCTCCGTATTGTCCGAGGTGACGTCCCTGAGAGCATCAAGAACAAGAGGGTCATCAGCCTCGATCTTGGCTCTCTCATTGCCGGCGCTAAGTTCAGAGGAGACTTTGAAGAGAGGTTAAAGAAGGTCTTGACAGAGGTGGAACAAGCCCAGGGAGAAGTTATCCTTTTTATTGATGAATTGCACACACTCCTCGGACTTGGGAAGGCTGAAGGCTCGATTGATGCATCAAATCTCCTGAAGCCTGCTTTGGCCCGTGGCGAACTCCAATGCTGTGGTGCAACAACTCTCAACGAATATCGTCAAATCGAGAAGGACGTTGCCCTGGCTCGACGATTCCAACCTATCATTGTTAGCGAGCCCTCTGTGGAGGATACTATCAGTATTCTCCGAGGTATCAAAGACAAATACGAAGTTCACCATGGTGTCCGCATTACAGATGGCGCTTTGGTTGCTGCTGCCACATTGTCCAACCGCTACATCACCGATCGATTTTTACCAGACAAGGCTATTGATCTCATGGATGAAGCAGCCAGTCATCTCAAACTGCAGCATGAGTCCAAGCCCGAAGATATAATGCGCCTTGATCACAAGATCATGACGATCCAGATTGAACTTGAGAGTTTGAGGAAGGAGTCAGATATCGCGAGCAAGGAGAGGCGTGAGAAACTTGAAAGTGACCTCAAGAAGCTCAACGAGGAAATATCTGAGCTCAATGCGCGCTGGGAGAAGGAGCGCGCTGGGATCGAATCAGTCAAGAAGATCCAAGAAGACCTGGACAAAGCTAAATTTGAGCTTGAGCAGGCACAGAGAGAAGGGAACTTCGGCCGTGCCTCTGAGCTCAGGTTTGGTGTTATTCCCAACCTCGAGAAGAAGTTGCCCAAGGAAGGAGAGGCTAAAGAAGCAAAGCCCAGCGATACTCTGATCCACGACTCTGTCAGCCCCGACGATATCGCCAATGTCGTCTCCCGCATCACAGGCATCCCTGTTTCGAAGCTGACTTCCGGACACATAGAGAAATTGGTTCATATGGAAGATTCCCTCCGCGAAGCAGTCAAGGGCCAAGATGAAGCCATCAAGGCAGTTTCCAATGCCGTCCGTCTCCAACGAGCTGGCTTGAGTGGCGAGAACAAGCCACTGGCTTCCTTCTTCTTCTTGGGCCCTACTGGTGTCGGTAAGACAGAGCTGTGCAAGAAATTGGCAGGTTTTCTGTTCTCGACCGAATCTGCTGTTGTTCGCTTTGACATGTCAGAATTCCAAGAAAAACACACCATTTCTCGACTTATCGGTGCACCGTCCGGTTACGTCGGCTATGAGGACGCTGGTCAACTGACCGAAGCTGTCCGCCGTAAGCCATATGCTGTGCTACTCTTTGACGAGTTTGAAAAGGCACACCGGGATATCTCCGCTCTCCTCCTCCAGGTCCTCGATGAGGGCTACCTCACCGATGCCCAAGGCCACAAGGTTGATTTCAAGAACACCATCATCGTTCTGACGTCGAACTTGGGTGCTGATATACTTGTTGGCCAAAACCACCTTCACCCTTACAGTGAGACACCCGATGGCGAGATCGACCCATCAGTCCGCAAAGCTGTCATGGATGTTGTCGCCTCGGCTTACCCACCCGAATTCCTTAACCGAATCGACTCTTTCATTGTCTTCAAGCGTCTCGCCCGCAGCGCCATCCGTGATATTGTCGACATTCGCCTTAAGGAGCTCCAGCAGCGTCTTGACGACCGCCGCATTACCCTTTCGGTTCCCGATAGTGTCAGAGACTGGCTTGCGGAGCGTGGCTACGACCCCAAGTTCGGTGCTCGCCCCCTGAATCGACTCATTACCAACGAGATTGGCAACAGCCTCGCTGACCAGATCATCAGAGGGCAGCTGAAAATGGGCGAGACTGCTGAGGTTAAGATTCGTGACGACAAGGAGGGCTTGGATATCATCGTCAAGCCTGAGGATGCTTGAATGACCTGATTTACGAAGGACTATCCAGGATTCTTTTAATGACTTAATGTATTTCATGTCTAATTCGAACAGTTTGTATTAACAGAAGCGTATAAGCATTGTAGAATGTAGCTAAACACCAAATAATGCATAACCACTCAATTGAGATCAACCCATCTCAAACCGCACTTAAGGATGTCATGTTTCATACTACTGGTGGAGTTGATTCTGTTTGGGACATTGTGGGTAAACGACTTGATCCGTTCCAGTTACGTCTGGCCTTCTAAATTGTCTTCCGTTCAAGATTAAAGTCAAGATTAAAGTCAACATTCTAGACACAAACCTCTATTCCTCTTAGCCAAAGAGATTAGAGGTCGTATGTCACTCACATCAATCAAGCTCGTGGTTTCACAAGAGGTTTGGAATAAAACATATAGAATCTCTACAATAGCCCCAACTTGCGGTGGCCCAATTCATGCCTCGTTTATAACCCTCGTTACTTGAGTTGCTCATCATGGTCATGTTCCCCAAGGTAAGTGACATGGGAAAGAAAGAAATTAACAAACGATAGATATACCAGTGCGCCACGGTTTGCGAGAGTATTGTAAAATCAGCGAGGATGCGTTCTTTTCAAAGAGCAAACAACACCCGATTGACAACTGTACAAATATCCCGGGGATCCCCATAAGACGCCTCCCATCATCACCCGACTTTTCCTCCAAGAAGAAAAAAAGAGAAAGCACGTTCTGTAGTCCTCAGGAAGCGAGCTGACGCTAGCGAGGGCAAGCAGATGTTGTTGACCAGATGACTCACAGTGAAGCACCATTGAGAGAGGAAGGAGACGTTAAAAGAGGTTGCTTAAACAGAAAACGTGAATAGACGTGACTTTGGTTCAAGGATTTATCTTCGATTGGTTGACCGATAACTTTGCAAATTACAACCGAAACCTCGAGTCGAGACAAAGAGCCATTTGAGAGTATATGGCAGAGCAGGAGAGAAAAAGCGAGTTTTTATGGAGAGACCTCTCGTCATCTTTCTACTGGTGACCCGCCTTTCGGAGGGTGTTGGCGAGCCACTCAAGACCCTCATAGAGACCGTCACCGGAGGTGGCACAGGTGGACTGGATGTACTATTGGTAAAAGAAAGCAAAAGGTTAGCATGTGAACAAAGAGACACCATCTAGGGCCTCATATTGATTGCCCGTTACTTACCCAGGCACGTTGTCGCAGGCTGTGGAGGCCAAGCTTGTCTGTGATCTCGGCGGCGTTCATGGCGTTCTAATAGTAAAGTAAGTAAGTATATGGTACCGCGGGCAAATGACAGATTGGGGGAAGGTTTGTGAGAAAGTCTCCAGGTGGGGTCGTGACGTACGGGAAGATCCTGCTTGTTGGCGAAGACAAGAAGGATAGCATCGCGAAGCTCGTCCTCGTTGAGCATGCGCTGGAGCTCCTCTCGTGCCTCAACAATACGATCGCGATCGTTGGAGTCAACGACGAAGATGATACCCTGAGTGTTCTGGAAGTAGTGTCTCCACAGAGGACGAATCTTGTCCTGACCACCGACATCCCACACAGTGAATTGAATGTTCTTGTACTCTACAGTCTCGACATTGAAGCCTAATAGGAAGCGAAGGGAATCCATATGTCAGCGGCATGAATGGTTTGTCAGGTTCGAGGACGTCTCATACCGATAGTGGGGATGGTGGTGACAATCTCACCAAGCTTAAGCTTGTAGAGGATGGTGGTTTTACCAGCGGCATCAAGACCAACCATCAGAATTCGCATCTCCTTCTTCCCCCACAGTCGGTCGAAGAGCTTTGAGAAAGCGAGACCCATGATTGCGGTTTACGGCTTCGAGGCCTGTGTGTCTAGGTGTAGAAAAAGAAGTCCTAAAGGCGAAGGCGCAAGGTCAGCGATGCTGTGGAAGGATGTTGAAAGAAGACGACGTGGCGAGGGGTAAAAGGGGGATGAGATAAAGAGGGAAGAGACAAAGGCCACAGACAGGCTGAGACAATATATGGGAGACGTCTAGCCAAGGGAGGAGCAGGAGGTTGGATGTTTTGGTGATGGTGGAGGCGGGATGGCTTTATGGAGTATCGCGAAAGGACACCTAAGGGAATGATCGAGGCAACGATCAAGAGCACATCCAACAACACAACTCCGTCATCACCATCATCGGGAGTCCTGGAGAGTCCTTCAAGCTTGTAAGCACCCCCGTTCCAGGCTGCCACTATCACCCGTTATGACCAGCTATGCTATGCTATACGTCGATAGTTGATTCAGAGCCGTCACGAGGCAGATCAACGGGGTAATAGCATGACGGCGAATTTGGTGATCAGGCGGCGACAACGTGAGACGGGAGTTTCTTGAAGAGACCATCGAGAGGAGGATCGGGAATATACAAGCAGCAAACAGCGGAATCTAGACAGACTCGAGCAAGAGACAGAAAGACGCTGAACTTACTGGATCGTGGGGCGGTCCTTGGAGTGGTGGTGCAGAAAAAACGACGAGCGGCGATGGATGGATGGATATGGATGGATTGGGGGTGGGCGCTGTCGTGTGGTTTGACTTGTCGGTGTGAGAAGACAATCACTCGGGGAGGGGTGAGAGACATTATCGCTCTCTTTTTGGGCTCCAGCTGCTAGGGTCTTTATTTTTTCTGGCCTCGGGCTGTTTGTTACTGGGGCCGGGCTGGTGAGCATGCCGTTAGAGGGGAAATTACTGGTTGATCGCTAGGAAATACTGGAGCCAAGGCCTATTTTTCGACGACATCTCAGAGACTCAGGGGACAGACAGGGAGGGTTGAGGGGCAAACGCAATTGCACCGCCACATGAGGTCGCCTTGATCTCGGGTACTCGTTTCTAAGCGATTCAGGTACTTTGATAAGAGAAGTTTGTGAATGGCGACACTTGTTGTGTCAGTTTAGTGTCAAGATATGCCATTCGCATATTTCTAATTGAGACTTCTGAGTGCTGTAGTGCTACCTGGGAATGCATGTCGTCTCCAAAATTGCTTCTCAACGCCAGATCACACGAATTCAACGCCGCGCAATCGGTCCCGCCATGATCCATCTCATCCCTTTTTGAAGTCGCAAGGACAGATAAACGACAAACCAAAGTACAGTAATCTCTAAGCCCTTGCTTGATCAAGCCACAGCAAAGCTCCACCCGCCCACTTCCCCCCTTTCGGCTTGGGGATATGGGATTGGCTTGTGAATTTTGGCAAGACGTCAAAGGTGCAAGCTGGCAGGAACTCAGGATACATATGAGCTCGGCAAAACCGTGGCTGTCCAGACAAGAGCCGCAACAGGAGCAGCCCGCAGCTCCTCCAATTAGCTGCGAAAAGGTGTCAATTCGTCGCGATCCAAACTCCATACTTGACTTAGTGGACACCGGTCCTTAGCTCTAACACGGGATTCAATGCTCACGGTCAGAGCACTCTAGCATCGCAAACACCCACGACACTCCTTTGAAGTTATAGCGATCGATCGGATCTACACATACCCGATAATGTACTTCGTCTCTGCGGCTAAGGCCCTCGTGGCCGCTGCGGTCTTCTCAGCCGTCACTGCTCACAACATCGTCCTGCCTGCTCATGGCCGTGAATGCTTCCACGAGTCCCTACACAAGGACGATACTATGACTGTCACTTTCCAGGTTGGCGATCGGGAATTCGGCAGCGCAGGCAACCTTGACATTGACTTCTGGGTACGTGACTTTGGGAGGCGGGCAAACAATCAGGATATTAACTTATAGCTAGATTACCAACCCTGCTGGTCAATACGAGACAAACGAGAAAAGTATCTCCAACGGCGATTATTCATTCACAGCTAAGCATGATGGCAAATACATATACTGCTTCGGAAACGAGAACTGGGGTGCCAACACCAAGGAAGTCTCCTTCAACGTCCACGGAATCGTCTACGTGAGCGAGCACGAAATGCCTGCCGACCCCCTTGACCGTGAAGGTAAATGAGCATTCTCTCGTCTGGGAATGACCAAGTTAGCTTACAACATTCTGCAGTTCGGAAGCTGTCCGATCTTCTTGCCCAGGTCAAGGACGAACAAGAATACATCGTGATGCGTGAGCGCACCCACCGAAACACCGCTGAGAGCACCAACAGCCGAGTCAAGTGGTGGAACATGTTCGTCATTGGTGTTGTCATTGGTGAATCTCTTTTCCAGGTCTGGTGGCTGCGACGTTTCTTCGAGGTCAAGCGGGTGGTTTAAAGGAGTAGACTTGGGTGCATGACGGCATGATAAAAGACCAACTCACTAAAATACTTGGAAATGTTGTTTGCTTGATGAACCGCAAGTGTGAAGAACGGATTGGCGCGGCATTCTATTGGGAGCATTTCGGGGAGGATAAAACAATCATACAAAAGAGCAATTCCAATTCTGGGCAAATATGATAATTTGGGGATTGTGTAATATAACATTTTACGTCGACAAGAGCCTATGTCGCTTGCATCTGGATCAAGGCAGGGCCACAGGAAGTCTACGTGGCTGCTTTCATGTTATTTTACAAATCATCTTCGATTTATGTACAGTCTTAAATTCCAAATTCATTATTAAATCCGCGTAAATCTATGACCAACTATCCTGGAAAACATGTCTTGTGTACTACAATGCCTTGTAGCTCAAATCAGAGTCATTCATCTCGTTGGCGTATTTCATCACTGACATGACACGATATGACCCCGTAAGAAACCCCCGTAAAAGCAAAACCAGCGCCTTGTTTTGACTGTCAAAGCCATTCCATGCAAAAAGATAATGAGATCATTCAGGCTCCGGGATCAGACTCGGGGGCTTTACCCGCCTCAACATCAGCCTCAGGGGCTTCAACAGGCAGCTCGACATCCTTGACGGGGTGAAGCAGCATAGGAGGCAGACACATTCTGCCCTCGCCACCACGCATGTTGCCGACTCCCTTGCCTTTTTTGCTCTTATCCTCTGTACCTTCAAACTCCTCGCCGCCGTCATTGTTCACTCGAAGACCTAGCCAGCGGCGATACATATTTGGTGCAAAACCCGAATTGTAGAACCAGGAAAGGCCGTGCATGTTGTGTTCGCGATCACCAAAGATGCTGGTTCGAGAGCCTCCACTTGCGCCATCACGGCCGTTGTTGTAAACCTGTGCCATGTACGCTGTGGGCCAGTTGCGATCAACATATACAGGATGGGGCACCGCGACGGCCTTGTAGCCATGCTGCAGAGCGACGGTGGCAGGCCACATCTCAGGGAAGGCGAATTGTTTCTTGAAAGCCGTCATTTTGTGCATAGTTGTCAACAGTCGCCGCGACATACGCGAAGTGGTGATGATGTTGGCCCGGCGGGGAGGGAGTCCCTCGGATCGGTTGTAGCCTGTGATGTCCTCCTTGAGACCCCAAGTCGTACCATCAGGGTTAAAGATCGGGTTAAGCGCGATGTAATCGGCCTCTTCTCCAACGCCCCATTTGTAGTGATCCTTCTCGTAAGAAGTGGGAGCAACAGGATCGTTGCCAGGCTCAAACCAGTCATCATCATCCTTAGGACGAAGGGGTCCCCATACAGTGCGGTGGCCTTTGGTGTCAGAGTCAGGGGACTTGCCCTCAAGACCAGGAACTCCCTTCCAGACATTGTCGGCGCCTACGACACCCATCTGACTCTGGACCCGAGCCATTTGTGAGAAGTCTTCCCAGCTGCCGTGAATACTGGGGAAATAGAAGCGAGAGTTGCGCTCCCAGAGACCCTTGCGAGGCTGTGATTTGGACCAGCTCTCAAGTTTAGTAAAGAGATCGTAATAGTGACCTGTGTAGCGCACATCCATTTCCCATTGCCAGAAGTAGTCGTATTCAGGATGCTTGTGGGCAAAGTACTGCATGGCCATGGACAGACCGCGGTACACGCCGTGAACTGGGAGATCGGGACCACGAGTGAAGTGGTCGTAGATTCCTTGATAAAGAGCGAGCATCTGTGTCTCGGACCACAGCGTGACCAAGCCTCTGAACTCTTCAGGAATGGCCTCCTCAATGCGCTCTTGGTAGATTCTTTCGTCCGCCCACACCGGATGAGCAGCTTCATTCTTGACCTGAACTAGGAGATGGATATCATAGCGGCCACCAGATGTCACAGCGAGCTCAGTGATGAGAGATCGAAGGTTGGCAATATCATCTTCGCGCCAGTTGTACTCGTCCCAGCACCGCACAACAACAGCAGTTCGTGAAATTCCGCTCTCGGCAGCCTTGGGTAACTCATTATTGGGATTCCCTGGCTTTTCCCCCTGGCTTTTCTCGTCATCCCCGCTATCCTTAGGCTCGGACTCATGGGGCTTTGCAGACTGCAACTTTTCTGCTCCTGATCCCTGAGACTTTGACTCACGTGTTTGAGACACAGTCGCCTCTGTAGGCTCAACCTTTGAGTATGCGGCCTGTGATGCCTTGGACTTGGATTGTTGAGTAGTTTTTGGTTTTGATGTCTCAACTTGGGGGGCAGTGGTTTCTTTGTCAGTCTTGGACTTATCCTCCTCAACACCGCGGCGCTCCAAAATTGAAGTAGGAAGTGGCTTAGGCTTAGGTTCGTGCGCAAAGAAACCATGAGGAGCCTGGATTTTGGAGGGGAGTTCCTTGAAACGAGCCTGGTTAGCCTTGAAGCAACGGCGCTGGACATCAGCCCAGTCAATCTGTCGATAGTCCACGCGAGGAGTCTTCTCCCAGACAGCATCCGACCCTTCCTTTTGTCCATGTTCACCCACGCTGAGACCACCATTTCTTGAGGAATAACCAAACCCGTAGGGGCCATAGCGGCCATAACGGTCGAAACATATGCTCTCGGGCAGGTTCAGGGTTTCGTAGGATCCGATGGCATGCTCAGGGAATCCTTGGGGGCGACCATTATAGTATCGGAGCTGGGGAACCCGTATTGTGCCGTCGGCATCTAGGAAACATTCTTTGCTTCCAGTCTCCTCGCTTCGGTTCGCATAATCGCTCCAGTCGTTGCTTTTAGGGAGCTTCTTCTTGTTGGCCTTGGAATCATCCTGGTGCTTGTCCTTCTTTCCTTCCACTACACCACCTTTTGTCTCGGTCTTAACTTCGTCCCTTGCTTCGTTCTTGGTAGGATTCGTGCCTTGAGCCTGGGCTTCAATCTCTTCGGTAGCAGCCCTGTCGGTCTCGTCGGTATCCTTGTCGCTCTTAATTTCGTTTTGCTTGCTCCAGGCGTTGCCTTCACTTAGCATCTCAGGCTCATCCTTCACATGAGGCCATTCCGGCTTTAGCTCTTCAACATTGACCAGGCTCTTGAGACCACCATAGTATCTTTCCAAGAAGGGGAACTTCTCCCAAGCAGGTGGTGGCGGCGGTGGGCGGTTATCAACCTTACCGTTGGCAACTTTCCAGTTCTCAACTTGGCTGGCTCGTACAAGACTCAAGACCATAACGATAATGAATGTGATCACAGTGCAAAATAAGTAGCGAGTGACTTTGTTGGGCATACGGTAGGGGTACACTTTGGCAATCCTTCGTCTAAGAGGGAGAGGTTTCTTCTGGTGACTGGGCAACATCAAAAGCCCACTGCTCGCAGACCCAGATGTATGCCTTGAAGAGCCAGCTGAAGAGCTCTCGGGGGAGTATGGCTCGTCTTCGTAGTCATCTTCATCTTCGGTTGAATAGTCGTCGTCAGAATATCGCTCCTTCGTTGGAGAGTTGACTTTCTGGTATAGTGGGAGCTGAGGCTCGCGCGGCCGCAGTGGATTTGGCAGCAATCCCATAATGGGACTATTATATATCTCTGAGAAGGAATGTTAGCGATTGAGGGAGGAATCTTAGGTTTCAGAACTAACCAGAGGGTACTGACCTTCTCGAACAGATGGAACAATTTCTCAGCACTTTGTGATACTCAATCGTCAAAATTATAGTGACTTGTTGATGCTTAAAATAGCAAGTTGCTTAAATCATATGTGTTCCTGAGTATTACAAAAATAAAAAATCGGCATATAAAGTATAGAGAGTTGGGGAAAAGTTGTTGTCTCGCTGCACCTTAGACCGCTCTTAGCTGTGATTGACCCATGATGGGAGCTCCGTCATTCGCTGGTCTGTTTTGTTACGGATCCGGCTGTTGCTGAGCAACGCTCAGCTTGGGCTTAGCTGCAACGTCAGCTCGAGATACGGCTTGTACCGCCAAGCATGGATGACAATCAAATAGCCGCTGACGAGCCAAAGACTTTTTGGATGCATGGATATGAGGCCTTCCATGGATTGAGTTTCCTGGGGTTGTTCGATAGAGGTTCATCCTGCATGTTTCCCAACGCTCGTGTGGTTGTGTTGATCAGTGCAAACTGGCTGTGCCTCAGCTTGCGTTCCGCATCAAGGATGAGGATTGAGATGAGCAAGGAAACGCCCGAGTTGCTCTCCTTCTTTCTCGTACAATGTCATTTAACTGCTTAAGAACCTGGTCGCCTGGCGTTTAGATAGCGCGAAGATATTATTCTTACCACCATCACGGCGCTTTGTCCAGGGTAGCTTTGGTAATGTCGTAGTCAGACACAGTCAAGTTTCACAGAACACTCAATCAAATAATCCTGTGCCGTCTTAGCCTTTCTCATTGAGACACAATGCGCCGCTCGCTAGTGACATAATGTTGTCCTATTCGTCGGAAATTCAAAAGCCATGGGAATGTGTAGCTTCAATTCAACGTCATGCCCCGCCGACGGCTGCACCGCATATCAATTCACTACTACTGTCTTAACCAAACAGATCGATCAAATCCAAGGCTTGCTTTGCAGCTGGCTATGGTGGCTGCCAACACGCCTGCCGGAACGTCGGGGTTGGGTTGGTTAGTTGCGACGCTGGCTGAGCATCATATGACGATCCCCTCTTGTCGCTTCTTTCACCGTCTCCGATTCTGGACTTGACCTTGCCCTGTACGACTCGGCTCTTGCCTCGATCAATTTACTTAAATACGCAGTGGTTCACTCTCCGATTTTATTAGGAAGAGGTTGATCGTTGTAAATCGTTCCATAAGTTGAAATACAGCTCTCATCAATATCACATCACACTTACACGGCTTTCCAACACCCCGCTCTCCAACTACATAGCGGCATTGTGGTCGCCAATTTGTCCCAAACAAGCCCTCTTCATATTCAAAGAAAGAGACTACTCTGCCCTCTTATCTCAAAATGTCGTCAACTGCAATCGCTTCAGCCGAGACCTTATCTTCTCCCCCTCCCGATCTTCAAGGCGAAGCTGAATTGGAACACCTCAAAATCTCCTATGCTCTTCGCCAGCAGCCCGTTTCCGTAACTCTTGATGGTAAAACCATCTTCTTATCGTCCCTTATCTTAGTCCTGCTTATTCACTTCCTTGATCCGTATCACGCCGAGTTGCTTATTGCTTCGTTCCCAATAGGTATAGTACCTATATATAGCCAGGTGTTCCTATGTTATATGACTGACTAACAAACAGTACTGCTCGTCAACAACGACTACCAGAATTTCCTCAACCTTGGCCCTGGTGGCACACCCTCCACTTTCAGCGGCTACCTGCGTATATCATGGTTCCGTCTTTGGGCTCTCAGCGACCCGTTTGCGGCCCCAGAGCCTGACCCTATGCGTCTCCCAACATCAGGTATTCTCCGACGCCAGCGTCTCCCATACCGCGCAGGTCCTCGACCCGTTGTTGCTGGCATAGCACCCCAAAGACAACTTGATCAGCATGGATCTCGAGCATGCTACAGAGCTCTCCGTTGGTCCATGGCCAAGTTGGCGAATAGAAGCCCGAAAAAGTTTGGCACCGAGAAGTCGTGCATAGAAAAGCATGGGTTGGCACTATTTGCCAGGCACCCAGTACAAACGAATTGCCAGGGCGAGATCTGCCATGTTCATGACTCAGATCACTCCATGCATATGTGTTTACACCCGGATGATATCAGGGAGGTGTTAGAAAAAGGCTGGGGTCAGAGGCATCCACTTGCCTGGAGAAGTCGGTTCCTCAAGAGCCCCGTCTCCCCAGACTTTGTCATGATCTATGCACCACGAGGTAAGACTTGCTTTTAGGCAATTGGCAAGAAGCTGCGACCGTAAACAATGGGCTGACAAGACTTTCATTAGACGACGAAGAACTGCAGGTCATCTGCAATATTATAGAAGCTGCTATATGGTACACTGTCGCCGAAGAACTCGAAATGGGGATCTGTCCAAAACCCATGTAAGCCTACATTGAGCTTGGCATATGGATGCGAAGGGGCAAATTGCTCATATCCTGAGAATGAATCATTGCCGTGGATGTGGCTTCTAGTATCAGAGTTAATGGGTATCTTACAACGCAATAAAATCTTCTTCCAATGTCAACATCGGACGTAGACCTTCTAATCCGAGTCTCCCTGGTACGTATCGTCCTTCGATTGCTTGAACTTCTCTTTTCCTGTCGCTAGGAACGCTTGCACTGTTCGACCATCGAAACTTCGTCCATGCATGAGGTTGATACAAGCACGAGCTGAGTCCGCATCTTTGAACTTGACTGAGACTATGCCTTCTGGTTCTTGGTCGAAAAGGACAACATTTGTCACTGTACCTAGCTTAGCACATTCTTCCCGGATGTCCTCCTTGATCTCCAGCAGGGCAGCAGGGTCCTCCTCAAGCTCTTCCAGCGTAAACATATGCCGAAGAATCACAAGCTTGTCCCACTTGGTCGCTGTCTCCGGCTGGCCCGGGTAGGGCATGTCGTCATCCCAGTCTGCCAGCTTCGCGTCGAGTTTCTGAGTCTTCTTGATGATCTTTTGCCTGTCGCGATCCTTGTTCTGTGGTTTGCGTTCAGCTGTAACATTCCCCCCTTCCCCACCTGCACCACCTTCCTGGTCGTATTTAACTTTCTTGTAACTCGAGTCTGCGGCCTGAACGCGTATCCGTCCTTCACGTGTGCCACTGGGAGTGATTCTGAAGTCTGTATCATCGAGAAGCATAATGGCCATCTCTACGCTCTGGGGTTTGAAGAAGACAATCAGGGCGTCGCCCTTGAAGTTGCCCTCTGAGTCGGTGTATAGTTTAATCCGTGGTGCTCCACTGTCAATTTCCTCTGCGATAACACCGCCCTTTCGAGAGAAAAGACCGTGGACTTCCTCAACCGTTGCATCAGCAGGTAAACCTGTGACATAGATGGCCGTATTTTGTTTAGGCTGTTGAGGTGCCTTTTGCTTCTTGTTTCGTGAAGGTTTACTGGATTCGGGAGTCTACTCAATAGTTAGCTTCAATAACCTTTCGGTAAACACGCAGGGAGACAGTTTCGACAGCGAAGCGATGTTTGGACGTACTTCGGAACCATGGTTCGATTCATTCTTGCGTTTTTTTGCTCCGCCATCTACAGTATCATGCGGTACAGATTCTTCCATGTCATTGAATGCGCCAGCCATTGGCGGTTCCAATGGATTCTCATCTGCAAGCACCCATCGCTTGGAATCGGCGTCAAACTCGTACTCGTTGCCGTCATCGTGGACTGCAATGAACTTCTGGTCAAGCTTGGAGAATGATATGCGATTATCGCTGTCGAATTCACGAGGGTCCGTAGGAAATGAGTCGTCCATCGTGATAATACCAGACCGTCCAAGCACGTTAGGGGGCTCTTGAATGAAGTACGTAGTGGCTAAAAAGAGCTTGAGGTGTAGGTTGGATTTCGGTTGTTGATGAGCTAGGTACTAAGCTTGAAATGCTACCCTGAAGAATGTGCAGTACGTCAGTATGCGTCTCTAAGGTACCTTAGGTACTTTAGTACCTCTAACCCAAGCAGTGCCGGAGCACCAAGGTGAATGGATACCTTACCTACTAAGTTAGGGCCAACGACGGGACCCCACCTTGAGTAAATACCCTTCCGTTCAGCCGTCCTACATAGACACGGCATCTTTGGTTCTAACCCAAAGACACATACATACCTGTATATCTCTGATATCGATAGCCTTATAATATGATTAGATTCATATTTCAACCCCTGTTACCATCATGAATCTATTTTACTTATGAAATCACGAACAGAGATTGGAACAACTGGTCTAAAAGTCGTTTGATGCTGGATGCTGCCTAACATGCATTAAACTTCGTCAAGATACCTCAAGTATTGCTTTTTTCTTCGTGCCATTAGAGAAACCAAGCACACATTCGAGAATGTACCTCGCGAGGATGCATCGCCATTTCATTTCTTCTCGTCCTCGACTGTCTTCTTAACGCCATCCACGAATGCCTCAATAGCTTGGCCACCACCCAAAGGCATGCCACTGCCTCTTAAGTATCCTCCATCTTGGACCTTTACACCAAGAGCATCCGCAATGCTTGGCAAACCACCATCCCGTATGGCCATTGTGAGACTTGCCAGGGCTTGGTTGAACTGGGGACTTCTCAGAACCTTCTTCAACAGCGTCCGCTTGTTGTCCAGGGATAATGAGGCCTTCGCATCCTCCACAGCCGAAGCTGATGGCTCCAATTTCCCATCAACAGAACCTGTTGAGCCACTTGCAAGGACTATGACAGTAGGAGGAAGAAGGCTGATCAATGTGTCTGTGAACTCTTCGGTAGCCGAGTCAACCATAGGTATTGTGATGGAAGTGGGAAGTAAGTGGTTGAGATGAGGGTATGCCTTTTCGGTGGTTTGTTGCTGCTGTCTACCCGAGAGCCCTGACGGGCCTCGAAGGCTGTCCAGAAAGCTCTTCACAGCGGCAGCAGCATCGGCATCAGGGGCAGATGAAGAGGCCCTGGAACAAGGTCAGCACAGTCACATTTTAGAGTTGATGCCACAGATCCAGCGCAGGACACTAGTTCCCAATTCCCCTCTCACAGTGAAGAAATCTAGTTTTACACAGTTGACCTGTTGTCCCAGATCTGTGATTACAAGCCAAGCCCATCGCTCGCTAGCATACCATCCAATTTAACCATGCAAAGGGAATCACCTACGCTCTAGCACCATCAGCTCCGCCCTCTCGTGAGCCCTCGCCCTCCTCTCGAACGTCTCCACCCGTGGCGTCAGGTCCTGCACCTCCGCTGCCGCTTCCTCGAGGTGCACGGTGGGTATCGGCGTCCTCCATGGTCTCATCCTCGTCGTCCGGTCGGTGATCGTTGTTACGGAGAGCTGACAATTCCTCAGCTACATCCACCTCCTCACCCTGTAGTAGTTGATGGACTATTTCGCCAATCTTGCGATCACGGGGGCTGTAGTAGGCAGGATCTCCGTCTTCGGCCTGAGGCTTTGACTGAAGCCAAAAGAGATATCGTTGGGACGAAGAAGTAAACTTGAGGACAAAGATACGACCGTTGGTCTTGGAGGTGGGCTCGGAAGACGATGTGTATTCGTGAGGAGTGAAGCTGCCATCGCCAGGGACCATGATCAGGTCAAGTTCAGGGTTGTCGAGGGGTTCGCTTCGCTTGCGCCAGCAAAAATGCACGAGATCTGTTCTGTCATCAGCCATGCAGCATTGACAAGGGCGAACTCGGAAACTCACCATCTTCAGAGTATAGGTAGATATAGCCCGGCTCAGGTTGCGGCTTCACTTTGTAAGGCTTAGAGGAGGCCTGGAGACAAGTGAAGTTAGTACATGCTCCTACTGATTTCTGAGCACTGGATCAGACGTACATCAACCTCGCACTGGCCCGCTTTGAAGGTGATAATTGGTGAGATTGGCATGTTCGGAAATTTTGGATGTGTGTCGGAAGAGTGAAAATTGTGGTGGTGTTGGGAAAAGGTTATACAACGACTTGCTTCACAAGGCGGCAGAAGCTCTTACGTCGTCCAGCTGTGATATGCATAGAATGGAGTTACCTAAGATAGGAAGCTTGGACCCACCTACACCTTAGGTAGCTCAATGACGCTGGTAGAGCGGCTAGCGGAGAGAATTAATCCGGTACTTTTTCCGCCCCTCACTTAGTCTTCCGTGGTGAGCCCCAGTCAAAGCAGATTAGGTGAAAAATCTCATAAACCCCACCTGGACATCGACCAGACAACCCGTTTTCCTTTCTCACATCTCTCCCAGCTCTACAAATACCCGACCTTTCTCTTCTTCCGACCTGACTTTTCTCATCCTTCAAAATGGGCTTCACCGATCTCGTTTCCGATGCTGGGCTTACCGGTATGTCCCTAGCCTCATAGTTTATTGCGCCTCTCTTTTCCGCACCATGGACACTGACACCTGAAATCAGTGCTCAACAGCTGGTTGAGCACCCGCTCTTACATTGTTGGGTATGTATTAAACCGTTCTAAACCTCACACAATTTTCTCCCTTTTCGAACTTCTATGATGAGATAAATTGGTCCGTGTTTCGGAGGCGGACTCAAGACCCGCCGTTTGACGAAACAACCAGCACTTAGTGCAACTCTGAGTAGTTTTCAAAACACCCGCTATTTTCTCGAAACTAGTTGAGAATATGTACTAATACATTCTCCCAGCCAATCTGCCTCTCAGGCTGATGTCGCTACCTTCAAGGCTCTCTCTAGCGCTCCCGTCGCTGAGAAGTACCCCCACGCCGCTCGATGGTACAAGCACATTGCTAGCTACGAGAGCCAGTTCGCCACCCTCCCCGGTGATGCTGCTGCTCCCTACACCACCTACGGCCCTGAGACCGCTGAGGTGACCATCAACCCCGCTCAGGCTCCTGAGAAGGCTGAGGGAGGTGATGACGACGATGTCGACTTGTTCGGCAGCGACGAGGAGGAGGATGAGGAGGCCGCCCGCGTCCGTGAGGAGCGCCTTGCTGAGTACAAGAAGAAGAAGGAGGCCAAGCCAAAGACCATCGCCAAGTCCGTCGTCACTCTTGACGTCAAGCCTTGGGGTATGTTTTCTCCCTTCGTCCTTTCAAGAATTCCCATGCTAACGATGCCTAGATGATGAGACTGATATGGTTGCCCTCGAGGCTGCCGTCCGTGCTATTGAGAAGGACGGCCTTGTCTGGGGTGCTTCCAAGCTCGTCCCCGTGGGCTTCGGTGTCAAGAAGCTCCAGATCAACATGGTTGTTGAGGACGAGAAGATTTCCGTTGCCGACCTTGAGGAGGAGATTCAGGAGCTTGAGGATTACGTCCAGTCCACTGACGTTGCTGCCATGCAGAAGCTATAAAAAGTCTGCGTAAACTACGTCAAAATTATGATGAGGCACGAAGGCGAGGACTTATGACCAATGGGATCTTATGACTTCGAATGAGCTACGTACAGGTGGAAAAGTCATGAATCCTACCCCATCGTACCGACCATAGATTATGAAAATGAAAACAAATATGACTGAGTATAATACTCGTTACCAGTAGCTTTGAGGATGTTTCATCCGGCAAGTTGCAGCCACTCGTATGTGATAAAGCATCCACGTTGACGAGAAAGAAAAAAGGCATACCCCACTATTATCAACCCCTCTGACTCAGGGGAACGTGAGGGGTCTAGGGGGTCTCGATGCAAATAGCAACCACCTGCACCAGCCTTGATGCCTACCTACCTACTGAATCGTATCGCTTTAAGCCATATTACAGCGGGGTAAAACTCGACTTGTCGCGCGTGTTCATGCAGTTCGCTAACGTTAGTCGCGGTCAACTGTCTCTAAGGTACGTTACTAACGCGACATAACAATTCTTCTGCTCAAAACAAAAGTGAAGATGTCATTGCCTGGAACATAGTTCGGCCTGGCAGACCTCAATCATCCTCGATCGCTTCCCTTACTTGATTAATGCGACAGACACGAGAACAGCTTACAGGATACTGTACAAGCTCATAGACCTGGACCAGCTGCATCATGTATGGAGATTTGGGCAACAAGCTGGTATTCCTTTTGTCAATATACCCCTGACAAAGATCTGACATATAGACGATAGGTCCAACATGCCAAAAGAACCCAAAATCTGACCCATCTGCCTCCTTACCAGACCGAAATTGTTCGAGCGGTGACACGAGAAGTGAGAGACCTGGACAAAGATGTTGCAGAACTTCTTGAGCCGTTTCAAGGCTCATTTGATCCAAGCGCCGACCAAGATATTGCTTGCACTCTGCTAGTAAACCACCTTTCGATGCGAAGGAACAAGCGTTGCTTGCTCGCGTACCACCGGACACGGACAGATAAGCTTGAAGAATTGGTATGGAATGGATCAGACGTGGTAGATCTGTCTGGGCAACAAGTACGGGATCCTGGGAGTGCTTCCGGCGCGGGCGGCAGTGATGCATCAAAGAGTAGTCTCAGCCCTCAAGAGGAGGAATATGTTAGACAGTACAGCGACCTGTTGGCAGCCTACAAGGGGCAATGGACAGACATCGACCTTACGGGGAGCCTAGAGCCGCCGCGAGACCTGTTCATTGACGTGCGAGTACTCAAGGATGCAGGTGAAATCCAAACAGAGTACGGGTGAGTTGCGCAATACCAACATCACTTGCGTCTCATGCGATGAACTGACCATGGAATCAGGGCTATAACATTGACCAAGAACAGTCAGTTTTATGTACGCCAAGGGGACGTTGAGAGACTCATCGCACAGGGATATTTGCATAAGCTTGGATAAGAGAAAGCGGGGTCAGAACAAGTGATAGGGAGCTTGATGGTCGCATATTGTTGTCTAGTATTATACCCTGCGTCATAAATATTGATAAGATCACATGCCAATTTATCGCATTCATTCATGTTCTTTTCTCGTAAACATCAATTCGTTACTCGTAACTTAAGGTAGTGCGCAAGCCACGGAGGGCATTGGCTTTCCAATACAATGGCCCAAGCTGTTCCATCACTTTTCAATGGACAATGTGAATGGATAATGTCTTCCGCAATGCTTGCCCCTCAAAGTTGTAGTGATGGTGGAACCTTAAGACATCATATGTTTGGTGAGGAGATACACATCCTCAGGAAAACCAAATGTGATGGTCGTAAGATCTACTTGATTTCAAGGAAAAGAGGCGCTTGGCCCAATGCCTTAAGTTTCTTTCTATGATCATGCTTAAGCTGGAAAAACATCAAATGTAGATACCTCTACAGACTCTTAATCATGGCTGGGCTATAGACTAAGACAGATGCACAATTAGGAATCGATCCTCATTGGCAAGAGGATACTCACGTACTACGTAAACACGAATCCTGGATTTATGTATCTCACCATTGGCGTCTTATCATTTCTCACTTCAACATCCCCTTGCGCTAACCAACTCGGCCCGTCCGGCGAGTCTCGGCGGCCGTTACGACCAAGTTTGACATGTTTTTAGGCCTTGGCGATTGTCAGTGGGCTCTAGGGCACTCTGAGCGGATCTTTCGCCTGTGCAGATAGACGGGCAGAAAAAAAAAGCTGCAGGACATGCAGTTCATGGCTCATGACAAGGATTCTAGAACAAATACTTCTGCTCTATGCGAAGATCAAGCCTGATTCTAGTAGCATCAGCGCATCACAATAATGAGAGATTAATGAAAACATGCCATATTTAAGCCGTTCGTTTATTGGCCGGCGACGGAAAAGCTAAACTTTTGCGTGTTTTTCACGCATTTGTTGCCTCTTCATAACCCATAAACTGACTGGTTGTGAAAAACTCAATGCGGGCGTATGAGCCTTAAGTTTGATAGTGTCATGATGAGACCCACATCGCTCTTTTTGATCGCCCTGGCCATTCAGTTGCGCTACGCTACGCTGCGGCTGCGTTGCGTCGGGTTGCGGTTGGCATTCGTCACTCCATTCCCTGCGAAATCCTCGCCATCTCTCTTTATCGTGAAAGCTTCACTTGGAATGTTGATTGTCTCGCTCACTATTGCTTGAATTTCCCTTGTTTTTGGACTCCGGAGGGAAGCAGAAGAGGAAAGAAACATTGAAAGATAGTCGACCATTGGCCTTGTGTATCGCTCATGCGACAGCGCTGAAGTGAGCTGCAACCCGCGCTCATAAGTGCCTTTGCAGCCGCCCAAAATCGATACGATGTCGTCGCCGCTCAATTTTACACCGTGGAGGAGAAGGGCTTTGAGTGCTGCTTCACAATCGGAAAACGAGCAAGCTCAATTGCAACGCGACGAGCTTTCAACTTCTCCTGTTCAGCATGGCCATAGCCCCCATGTCCCAATTGCTGCAAGACCGTCCTCTAGCTCTGCAGCTCACAGAGAACCTATCAGATCTTTCATCCATGGTTCTGTTAGAGACGGCTTAGGTATGTCACATCCTATTATTCGTCTGCCCGCATTTTCGGCTGATTCCTTCATCTACAACAGCACCAATTGATAGTGTTCAGAACGCTTTATCTGTTCGGCAGGATACTGCAGAGCTTGCGAATTACTTGCTCTCCGACCCCAAGGCACAGCAGAGCTCGAGCGTTCTCCAACGTGCAAGGGTCTCCTACCAGGACTCGATTGACTCAGAGGACATCGATGATTCATCTACGGCCGACAACACACGCTCCTCCAGAACAATCCTTGAAGTTTCCGAGCCGCCGTCTCCAGATGGCCACGATGACGATACTGATGCGGATGCGGGACCTTCCGTACTGGCAAACCTCCTAAAGCGATCTCCTCCCCAATCGATTGCGCCAAACCAACCACAAGTCGAGGATGAGGAGCCAAATGGTGACACACGTCGACTGGACAGGGAGCAACCTCGAGTTGCACACGCAGAGGATGCTACGGAGCAGACCCCTCTGCTCACTCGGATAACATCCGGCGGCCGGAGGTCATACTCTGACCTCGAGGGTCAAAAGCCTCAGACTAAACGACCATGGTTCAGTGGTCTTGTGGAAGTCGGCAGTAAGATGGAAGAAAGGGTTTCCAAAGGAGTGGCCGTCGCTATCAACCCCAAGAAGTGGGATCGTCGTGCGCTTTGGAATAATGTGGTCGTGACACCGACTTCATGTCTACCCGCCGTTGCCGTTGGTCTGCTGCTCAATATCTTGGATGCTCTATCATATGGTATGTTTTATAGTTCAAAGTCTATGCATGACATCTAACAAGCCTAGGAATGATCCTCTTCCCTTTAGGGAAGCCAATTTTCTCTCACCTGGGATCTGCTGGAATTTCTGTTTTCTATGTTAGCACTATTGTTTCGCAAATAACATTTTCATCTGGTAGTATCTTTAAGGGTGCTGTTGGCTCGGAGCTGGTCAGTCGCACCCCTAGGCTAAGTCAATCAATACCTGCTAACCATCCTCCTAGATTGAAGTGGTTCCGTTCTTTCATAATATGGCTGCAAAGATCACTGATATTGTTGGGCAAGACAACCCTGATGCTGTGATCGCCACCACAATCGTGTCATTTAGTTTCAGCTCCATGATGACAGGTCTCGTCTTCTATTTGATGGGACGATTCAAAGTCGGTTACATGGTGGGATTTATTCCTAGGCATATTCTCATTGGCTGTATTGGAGGTGTCGGTTGGTTCCTGATCGCAACTGGATTCGAGGTTTCTGCTCGACTAGATGGCAGCCTCCAGTACAACCTCGACACTCTCAAACAGCTCTCTGACCCGGCCACCGTCCCTCTCTGGGTCGTCCCCTTAGTTCTCGCCATTGTTCTCTTTTATGGCCAGTCTAAGATCACATCCAAGTTCTTCCTCCCCCTATTTATTCTCGCGATACCCCTTATCTTTTATTTCTTTGTCCTTGCATTGGATTCTTTGGACGTTGATGTACTACGCGACCATGGGTGGATCTTTGAGGGGCCTCCCTCTGGGGAGCCATGGTGGTACTTTTACACCCTATACAGTGAGTCCAATAACCCTCTTCTCTGTTTTCACTACCAGGCTAACCACCTATTTGCAGAGTTCAAACTTGTACGCTGGGATGCAGTCATCGAATGTGTGCCTGCTATGCTTGCATTGACATTCTTTGGTATTTTGCATGTCCCCATCAACGTCCCTGCCTTGGCTCTAAACTGCGGCGAGGATCATGCTGATCTTGATAAGGAGCTAAGATTGCATGGCTACTCCAACTTCTTGTCCGGCTGTTTTGGTAGTATTCAAAATTACTTGGTCTATGCAAATACAGTTTTCTTCATGCGGTCTGGGGGCAATAGCCAGCTTGCAGGTTATATGTTGGCCGCAGCAACATTTGGTGTCATGGTCATTGGTCCATCACTCATTGGTTTCATCCCAGTTATGATGGTGGGCACTCTAATCTATGATCTAGG